GTCGAGCATAACATAAAAACAAAAAAAAAAACAAGAACAAAATAATGAATAATGAACAATTTTCCACTCTTCCTTATTTTTAATGCAACATTGTTGCAATACAAAATTCTTTTAAAAGCGCACTCTAACCAATGGATGCTACTTTAATACTACCATATATACACATAATATGTATATTAAATAGTAATAATAATGTTGTAAGATTCATGCTGATTATGCACTTATGAATATGTCGATAAATATAAGTTTATGTATCTATACTCATACACTTATCGAATATACATAAAATATACACATTATTGCATAAACATTATAATATGTAATTGCAAATTGAAATACAAGTTGTACAAGAGTCATGCAACGAAATTATTTGTAAAGTTGCTATGTGGATATTTTATTATTCAAATTTAATATCAATAAATTTGAAATTAAATAACAAACCAAGAATTAAACGTGTGAAAAAATTTGAAAAAAATGCTTATTAGTACTCTGTCCGTAACTTTTATACTTTTTAAGATAGAAAGCTTGAATTTATGTTTATAAAAAATTTATCAATCTCCCACCTATAAAAATTATAAAGTCCCGAAAAATCCTAAAAATACCATTTTTGATTTCTTATTGTATCGGAACCACAAACATTTTTAAAAGCAGAAAGATAGTTATTGAATTCCTCTACAGCGATGCGTCATAGTCAAATATTAGAATAACAAAATGGCCATTAAAATTAATCGTTGTCTATAAAATCCGTTTTTTCAAATTTTTATTATCCTTTTAATAACAGTTTTTAGACACTAAAACTCGTAAATAATTTATTTTTTTTTAAAAAAAATTTCCACTTTTACTTCCTTCCAGGTTCGCCTCTTGTCTTTGTCTTGCAACACCACGGACATTTTCAAATATCTATAAAAGCAAAAGCCTATTTTACCGTCGAATTATTAAACCCCTCTTTCAATTTTTTTTCATCCTATATGTATGCAATAGTTTGAATTTTTTTTTGTATTTTAATGAAAGTAATTTAAATTGCTAGCTAGTACATTACTTTTTAGAAAAATAATTTTTACTCGTTCAAGCGAGAAATGCTAATTTATATATAGTTTAGTTTGATCCGACTTCATTTTTTTCAAAAATTTACAAAATCAATACACTCAATTTAAGAAATGTAGAAGAAGAAGAAACTACTAGGTTTAAGAAAACGAGAAATTTACTCAGTAGTTTCATATTTTTACGTGATATCATTAAGAACAACAGGATTAATTAAATGTCATAATGTAATTAAAAAAAATGGAATCTTATTTGATTTAAAATGCGTGAGATCCAAGATCCAAAATTATAAATTCAATTTGAATGGTTAAAATAATTTCATATAAAATTTAAACGCATCTAGGAATGGAACCCCTTATTAAATAAGAATAAATAATTGATAATATATTATATGTATACCTATATATACATAATATAAATAATTATATACTTATATAATTTTGCAATGATATCTTAATTTTTAAGATATACATACATATATGTATGTACATACATAAACTATTTTTCCTTTTCCTTATTCTCAGTTCATATAATTTTTTATTATATTTATACACATATATAATATATTAGTATGATGCATGCCATGAAGGTCTAGATATAAAATTGAAATTGAAGCACTAAAAAGGAGATTACAAGAAATCAAAATAAAATACTCATTCATACTATTTATATTTTGTATAAATATGTTCTATGTGTTATCACGTTTCGTTGATAATATTTTACTATTAATAACGAAACGTTCTTATATATACAAATATATTTATACATATTATTTTTATACACAGTCTCATGTGTATTTTCATATAACTAGATATTTCAGTTTTCATGATTTTTCCTCAATTCATTTATTAATTTTTATTTTCTTATAAATACATAACTATTTTCTCTTTTCGCTATTATAATTATTACCATAACCTACTGTTAACATATGGGTGTACTTTTTATATATAATATTATAATTTAATGACTTATTGCGTAGAATAATTTTAAGTACATATTTATATACATAGACTATATACATATGATACATGTGTAATTATTACATCAATATCGTAATTACATATTATGTTTACATATAAGTCTATAATATTATAATAATAATAAATACACGGTTCATAATTAAATATACATATATATGTACGTGTATAACAATTATAAACGATTATAATTATATAAAAGTATGTAGTATAACAAACGCGTTTCATTTTAAGTTGCGTGAATAATGAATAATTTTCTAGGATATTGATTACGCTTTAAATTTTAAAAAAATATTTGAACAACTTTTTAATAGTTCAAAATATAATAATTATTAGGTTGAATATAATACGGGTAATGGAATATTGAAATAATCATAAACTCTTTGACATATGTATTACAAAATCAGGTTTATTTATTTATTTTATATAAATTAAGATTAAAATTTATAAAATAATTTGCAAGTATATGCATACAAATAATAATTAACTTGCGTGTATATGTAATATAAAAGTGTTATACATTATAACTGAGGGAATCAGGCGACGTCTATAAAAATGTCTATATGTCAAATAAGTAGTTGTAAATAGAGTATAGTTGTGTAAGACTATAAGTTTTAAAATTCGAATTTTGTTACATAATTTTTATTTTAAAAATTTAATTTTTTCTAAATTTACAAAATTAAATTTTTTTTGTCCAATATTCATGAAAAATCTTACTCAAATTTGTATATGAAGCAACATTTTTTTCACTTACATTATATTACCATTTAGAATTGTTGGAATTTATTCAAATTTAGTTTGATTAAACATACACAGGGGGTTTTGCATAAGGTGACAAATAATTTCAGGGATAATTTTTTGATTAAGCATCGTATCAAACCGAAAACAACGAAACAAGAAAAAATAATAATAAAAATTTCCGAAATATTTCGAGCTTTTTAAAAAAAAAAAATTCAAAAAAAAAAACAAAAATTATGACTTCGACAAAATTTATCTCGAAAAATATTGCTGAAATCAAATTGATTGTAAGACCCCAATTAAAGATCAATTAATCGTATGTAAAACAATCCCTCAATAGTTACTCTATAATGTATGGTTCCGAAGTTATAAGTATTTATTCATAAGATTTTTCAGAAAAAAATTCTGGTCACTTTTTTTTTCAACAGGCTGTAGCTCGAAAACGAGTATATCTGAAAACCGCCAGCCATATAATTAATCAAAGAATCATCCCTGAAATTATTTGCCCCATATTGAAAACATTCTGTATATTTGATGAAATGAGACGACGTCGTGTCTCTAAGTGATACATATCCATCCAGGCCCGTTGTGAATCTCTCCTTTTCCTCACCTCATCCGAACCAATCGGAATTCCTGACAAATCAGCCAAGATCCCTAATATTTATATAGAGTTTGATAAGACGAATTCATAAATTTTATAATAGCTTGTAAAATATACACGTTAACCGATTTTTTGCTAAATCGTCTTAGACTTCTTTGCCTTTTTGACACTTGATATACATATAACTAATTAAATTATAGTTATAATTCCACTCTCCTTATTCCTCTATATTATACCATTTGTAATCTTATAATTCTTTCGCTATAATTACATAAATATACATATATACATGTAACATACACTGTACTAATATTTTACTATAGTTATACAAATTATACGATGGTCATTTTAATCAGTCAGCTGATATTTACTTTTTATTATAAATTTATATAAAAATCAATATAAATATTTTATATATGTACATATATGTAGTACCATACTAGAATCTGATATATGTATGTACTAACGACACTCTCTTGCTGTAATACGAATAATAACAATCATAAGAATAAGACGAAAAGAAATAGAATATAAGAAGAAGAAGAAAAATTTAAAACAAGTAGAAAATAAAAATAAAAATATAAAAATGTTGTTTTCTGCTTAGCTTAGCGATCTTTCAGTTTTTTTGCATTTTTTTTTTTCTTTTTTTTTTTTAAACCGTTGATTTCATCGTTGTTGAGTAAAACTTTCATCCATCTAGCTTATTCAGTATTAATTCTAGGTTTTATGCGTGCTGAACGTTTTTGACAAAAAAAAAAATTATTTAAAATATTAAATTAATTATTAAATTTAAAAAAAATATTAAAACACACATATAATATGAATATCGTACATATGTAATATAAATATTTCAAAAAAAATTAACGAAAATTCGTAATTTTATTAAAAAGAGAATACAAAACAAAAAGGAATTTATTAAACTATAGCCAAATTATTTAAAAAATTTCGAATTTTCATTAAAAATTAATTTAATTGCAAATAATAATTAAAAAAAAATAAGAGTGATAATTTAGAATTTGCGTTTATTTACGATAAAAAAACAACGTGTTTTTTAATTTTAATCCAAGAAAAATAAAAGCTGAGAAAAATTCATAAAATATTTGCAAAAATTATTAAAATTACTTAATTAATTTTTGAAAATTACTAAAAATTTGTCAAGGTATACCAACAACAATTAATTTCGAAGAACTATTTTAGATTTGTAAATGATCATTAATTTGGTTATCAAGATCAATCAGTTTATACATACACGCATGCACATAAATGTATATATATCAATAATTCTACATAATATGAAAATAAAGTGTATATATAGTAATAATTATTTTAATATAGTGATTTTAAATTGTATAACAATATAATTACGAGTACTTTAAAAATTTTATAAGATACGCGCATTTAAAAAAAAAATTCATATATATATACGCATAAATATTTATGCAAGTCGGTCAAGTGAAATATTTTTTTTTATATATTCATTTGATTTTATTTGATTTTTGTTTTTTTTTTTAATTTTCTTCATTTTTTTAATATCATTATTGAATAAGTAATTAAATTTGTATTAATTAAAATCTGTAATTAAAAAAAAAAAAATAAATAATTTTTTATATTTTATTTGCTTGTATATTTGATTGCAAAATTTATTTAATTAAGATTTTGGAAAATTTTAATTAAATTTAAAAAATTAAATAAATTATAACTAGAGTGGTCAAAATTAAAATAATAAGATTATTTTAGTGACGGTCATCTATAGCGCTAAAGAGATTGTAATCAAAGTAAATAGATTCGATTACATAATTGTAATTGTAATATTTTTGGTAATTAATTTTTGCATATTATTAATATAATAAATTATAACATTTAAAATTGATATAATAAAAATCAAAAATATTGATAATTTTCTTAATTAATAGATTTATCTTTAAGGTACTAAAAATCTTGGAATAGAAATAGAACATTCTTTTGTTATATCTCTTTTACCATAAAAACTTTTTTTAATATTAAATGATTTAAATTGAAACTCAAGAAATTGGAAAATTTCAAAAAATTTTGGACAAAAAAAAGAGAGAAATTCTATTTTTTTCTAAATTTAGAATGTTTAGCATTTCAAAAGTTCATAAAATACAAAATCAAGTAAAATGTTGACTTAAGCCGTTTTAAAATTGCTTCTTTGAAACTTCAATTTTTTTCAGAAGAAATGTTATAAGCAAAAAAACTTTGGCAAGTAGAAATTTCATGGAAAATTCGTTAAAATCCTTGTATCATGGAAATTGTTGGGGTTTGTTCTATATTGGTAGTAAATATAATTATTAATTAGTTCATAATTAAAATATATACACTTATATTTATATAATGAGGTCATGCGGTATGATCTTTATAGAGATTTTGAAAAACCCTTAAAATTTTGCTCATAGGGATAAATTTCATAAACCCGCTTTATTAGATGAAAATTTACATAAATAAGTCTTGAAAAGAACTGTAAAAATTAAAATATATTCATTTATCATAAATATTAGATTTTATGTCGGCGATGTGAGATACTTAATTACTAATTTTTCTGGTTTCGCAATTCGCTTAAAGTGAGAAATTTCGCAAAATCAAAATCGAAAATATCAGATGTTTTTTTTTGTAATAAGGACAAAATTGCTTAATAAATATAGAGGAGATGAGTTCGCGATAATAATTACAATTTATAATATTAGTGATATTATAAAATTTTACAATCAATCACACCAATTAGTATAGAATACATATTTGTTAGAGTACAAAACTTTTCCTAAATAGGTTTACTTATAACATTTTCATTCTATAAGTTAATAAAACCTTTACTTATTTCTACAAACAACAATACAAATAATATCTATGTATATAATTCATACAAATTAGATTTTAATTAAAACTTTAATATTATTATTTTCTTACTAGCTCCTCATTAATTTACTTATAAATTTCCTTTTGATTATTTTCTTTGCAATAATAAACATTATTGCACATATTCTAAATCTTGCTGACAATCAGCTAAAACTGAAACAAACACGCTTATTTGTTTGGTACCTGATCACTTTTATTATGTCAAGGATCTTATTACTAAAATAATTATTAAAATCAAAACTTACTAAACTATATTGGAATGCAAATATATGCCTTTCTTATATTGTAAACAATTCTGTCAACCCAACAATACTGACTATTTTATGCATTCGGTGCATTTTTTATATTTACCTAAATCAATTTACATACTCCAAAATTTTTTAAAATTTAAAACGCTAACAAAAATAAAATTAAAAAATTTATTTACTAATTTTTTCACGGTAGTAAGTGCGCCCGTAAACTAAAATTATATATAAACAAAGCAAGAAAAAAAAAATATAAAATTAAAATTATTTTGAAAAATGAAAACAAAAGTTCATTTAACTTTACAATGATTATATTTCGATTAACTTACCAAGTATGCTGAAAAAAAAATATACTCTTTCTTAATGAAAAATATAAAAATTCTCAGGGAAATTAACACATTCCATTGTATTAATCATATCACTTGGTATATAATTTTGAGACCCAAATTTTTTAATAAAAATTTCATGCTTATTTCATGCAAAGTTCTAAGCTATCATATTGCAATGAATTTATTATTAAGTATATAAGCAACTACATAGGCAAATCAAAAAGTTTTTGGAAATAAACAAAATAATAGAATGAAGAGCTTTACATTTAGAATATTATTTAGTACCGAAATTGACCATTGGTAGAACAGAAATGACATTTCATACAATATACTGATAATATACCGCAAAGTTATCAGTATATTTTAATGATACTGATTTCGTTAAGTATACTGAATAATCACGTCATATGTTTTTAATGAAAATCATATAACCCTGTTCACTATACATATATAAGATTTTCGAAACTTGGTAGTACTCTCAAAGCATGGTGATTTCCGACTTCCAGTCGAACAAAAAATAATAAAGAACATTTTATTATAGTTTTTCTGAAAATAGTTCATTGATTTCATTTTTTCTTTGTTACTTGAAGAATATGGCAGCTCATAAAATTCCCATTTACAAACAAAATTTTAAATACATGTTCTAAGTCACGTTTTCGTTTATATTTTCTCAAATAATTGGCTAACAAAATATTCTACTTTTAGAATAACTACTTCAAGGAAATTTAAATTAGAATACGATTTCCTTGGTTAATTAAAATTTTTAAATTTATAATACTTATAAAGAGTCACTAGTTACTCATAATAAAAAATGAAATATCCAGATTTTCTTGATTCTAGATATATTTGTGCAGCATTAAGATTCAAATTTTGAATTAATCCCGAAAATACGGGAATTTTCTGTATATTCATTATACATAACTATATATATTTATTTTCCTTGATTACAAATCTAAATATAAATACTTGATATAATATTAAACAAAAAATGTTATCAGAAATCGCATGCGGCATTAAAAATAAAAAATAAATTATTTACAAATTAATTCATTATAAACTCGGTTAATCTTAAAACAAATTTATTTGATTAACACAATATGAAAACAAAAAAAAATATTATAATAACTTAATTTTTATTTTATTATTTTATATTTGCATATATATACAAACACATACACTTAATACACTAATTAACTAAAACTCACACCTACGTTATACTTATAGTTTGTTTACCTTTATTGCATTTTTTTCTTAATTAAATAATTTTTTTTCTGTATGTGTGTGAAATGCTATATTTTATATGTTATAATTTTATTCTATTAAACTGATATGAACGAAAAAACAAAAATTTGTTTAATTTTCACACAAAATACAAAAATTTTTTTAATTCTTTAAATTACGAGTTATACTGCAGAAGAAGATAAGAAATGTTACATATTATCTGATGATTAATAGCTTTACATATACATATACACAAAATTTTAATTTAAATAGCATAATTGTAGATCTATAGAGAATCAAAAAAAAAAAAAGCAAAAAATAATTTATATTTGAAACAGCTTTTATTGCACCTTAAACTTCTAAAGTGAACAATTAAAAAAAAATTAAACAAAAAGAAAATTAAATATTAAATTTCTATTATGCATTGGAAAAAGGGCAATTCAAGATTACAAATATTGTAAATTTGTGTTTTAAAATTTAATGAATAAATTCACCTCATAAATTTACCTTGCAAACGTATATAAATTCATTTTCTTTAAAAAATTTAACCTTTACGTCCGTCTTTTAATAATTGAATTTAATAATAATTGTTGGATTGCATGTATTATAGATAATAACACTGAAACTTAATTACTTCCAAATATTAAAACTATACCACTTTCATTATATTCGTTTGATTACATATTACAACTCAATCTTAATTATTTTACAAGATTCCGGTTTTTATGTATTCGTCCTCACAGCTTCCTAAAGTACTTAAAAATAATTTCTTTTATAATAAAAAACCGTAAACAAATAATATCATGATCTGTTAACCCCTTGAAATTAATTATTATCTCAATTCAATTTTTCGATAATATTAAGAGAAATTTATTTTATACGAATACTTATAAGAAAACCATTGATTTAAGGTTTCCAAATCATATTTAATAAAGCGCCTATCTGACACGGACAAGGAGTTATTTTTAAAATTTCAAAAAGTAAAAGAATCAGTCGAAATTGACTTTAAGTCTCTGTAACCCCGAACCTGTTGAACTGTGAACAATGTCTCCGCACAAAGGTTTTGTCTACTCATGAGGATTTATACAATGGTATATAGTATACGAGACACCTAGTATGTAAATATTTTATTTTACTTGAACAAAATGTCTTTGTTTTCATCCTCAGAATTTGAATGAATGTTATTTTTGCTTCAAAATTTATTCGAAGCTATAAGGTCCATCGAACTTCTATAAAATCACAAACTTACAACCTAACTAAATTAATTAATGTCCTTATCTATTGAATAGCTAAACGGGACCTGAACTAAATTAAACAAGTTCTACCATTATGCTCCTAAATTTGTGCAACATTTTTTTATAATGGTAATAAGAAAATTAGTGATTTGATATTATTAAATTGAAAAAGTCAAAATTTTGACATGTTTTATTACCACAGACCTAAAAAGAGAGATTAATGTACCATTAACCCTTTGCACTATAATTGTTTTTCTAATTTGTTCTCGGTCAACTCTGATTTAATTTTTCTGGTTTTGATATCATATGTCAGGTATAAAGTAATTACTTGGAGTTACTACCAAATGTGCGCAATCTTACAGACGAGAATGCACTCAATAGTAACAATAATTGAATTGCGCATGCATGAATAACTGTTTTGTCACGCCAGAGGTGACTTCAGAGTTTTAGGCGTGACAAAAATATTTTTCTCTAAAAGTCTGAAGTCACCTCTGGCGCGACAAAAATATTTTTGTCACGCCAGAGGTGACTTCAGAGTTTTAGAGAAAAATATTTTTGTCACGCCAGAGGTGACTTCATAATGCAAAGGGCTAAACTGTTTAATTTTTTAAATACAACAAAATATTTGTGTAGATGTTGTACTTTATAACAGAATACATTTGTTCTTGCTCAAAGTCACTATATCATATATGATTTACTGACTTTTTTGTGTAATACAAATGAACATAATATTAAAATACTCTTATCATAAAAAAATTTTTCAAATTTCATAATATTATGATATTCAAAATAATATCAAATAAATTGCCCTTAATTTAATGAAATTATAAATATTTGATATTTACCTACTATCGTTATCATTATTGCATTAATATTATAACATATGTACCTTTCACACATCCATATATACATTATA